GATATTGATATAGATATAGATATAGATATAGATATAGATATAGATATAGATATAGATATAGATATATATGTATATGTATATATGTGTATGTAAATTGTATATATTTGTTTGTTTTAGTGTTAGAAAATATTACCACATACCGAGGATAGAATCTGTGCTCAAAAAAAGCATTATCATAGATAGTCACACATATTTACCACTGCGCCATTCAAGCTGTACAGGCTTCGAAAAATAGAACCATAAACAAATATTTGTGAGTCCAGTGGATGGAAGGCAAGGATAAGCGTCAGACTTAACTGACGCACGCGTAAGCGTCAAGTTTAGCGGTCGCATGCGTAAGCGTCAGACTAAGTGGTCCCAATTTCAAGTCGCAACTTTAACACGTCAAGACTTGTACGTCAGACATAGTGGTAGCAAAACTAGAAGTCAGACTTAGTGGTCGCAGTCTTGACCCGTCTCCATACTTTATAGCGTATTTTGTTTTATGGATCTTCACGCACCGCTCTCTCACTTTGTCTTGACTAGGACGCTTCGCGAGAGAAAGTGTCATTTGCTGAGCACTGTCGATAACTGGGCAAGTTGCATTGTAATTGTCATGTTGTTTCCTCATACATTCTTGTATCTTCGTTTTTTAGGAATATATCAAAACCGTGAGCAGCTATACACTAGCAGAAGAACGATTAGAGGACACCGACGATGGCTACGCAGAATTTGAAGAGAGATATGGCTACGACTTTGATCATAAAATGGAAACCATTCTGTCTGGTTTCGGTATTCATGGACTGCACCAACCCATGGTCTCTCTGAGTAGTGGTCAGAAAAGTAGGGTGCGTGAGCAGCACAACACGGTGGATGGTGACGTAGAGACCGTGTCCAATGGTTTCGATTTTAATTTTCTGTGTAATTTTTTGCATGTGAAATGATAATGTTCAAGCACGGTGCGATTGATTGTCTGTGTGATTCGTGCGATATGTTGTATTGCTGCGAGTGCATTTTTTTCATGTTTTCTGTCTAGTATGCCGTACTCGGCAGAATGTTTGACTTGGGGTACCGATGCGTTACCACTGGTATATACGCGCCTGTGTTTTATCTGTACGTTGCAACCTCTGCCTACCACATATGTATTGGCTGGTGTTGTCTCCATACTTCAGTTACTATTTTGTCATATCCATGTGCGCGTCGCTTTCGGTCAAGAATCCTTTTAACGTCATTGCATTGTTGTATTCCATCCAATAATTATTATACTAGCACTATGTGTGGATGGAAGCATCTCGTACGCAGCGATTGGCATTATCGAACGTTAGAGATAGTGAGAGCGCCCCATGAGATGCTGTTCGTTCGCATTGGTTATTCTACGCTCGCGGCCAATTGAAACTACTTCCGTTTCGTCTGCTTGATGAATACGGTTGAAGTTAAATACTCGTATGTAGGTATACCTACCTTTTTTTGAATATTCTGCCTCTACAAAGGTTGCGCTTGCAGCAATTCTTCTTCAGAATGCCGACTTGATTCTATTGGATGAGCCCACAAATAATCTCGATCTGTCGGCTATCTTGTGGCTTCGGACGTCTATTTTAGAAAAGTGCAAAAATGTCACACTGATTATCGTGTCACACGAGATACATTTTTTAGATAGCGTGGCGAATAAGGTATGTTTTTGTTTCACAGTACTCCCGCAGTAATGTTTTTGTTTTGTTCGACGGAATTGCTGTACATACTTGTTTACATTGAATGCACTGTTTGTGTAGCTGAGCTTGTAGCCTTCGTTTGTTTGAAGCATTCAGCATCCTATTACAATTGGGCAGGAACGTTAATAAACAATGGCCCATGCTGCAATTGATATAGATGTCTGAGCCAATTGCCCACGCTGCAATTGATATCGGCCTTTGAGCTAATTGCCCATACTGCAGTTGGTATCGGTGGCCCATGGTGCAATTTGTATAGTTGTTGGAGCTAATAGCCCATGCTGCAATTGATATAGCTGTTTGAGCTGAATGCCGCCAAGGGTTGTCTGAATATAAGCGGGGGTACATATTCAGATTACATCGAAATGCGCCAGAAAGCTCATATGAAGTACGAGTTAGAGTACGAATCCCGGCAGTCAGAACTATCCCGTCTTCAGAAACAGTCGCAGAAACGAAAGGACCAGAGTGAGCGTGGCTCACAGGTAGGTTTGGCGAAGGCGTGCTCTGTCTGGCCCTCAATTTATCTGTAGCAATCTCATCAAGCTATAGAACTAGCAGACACGGATGCTTAATTGCCATGTTGTAGAACAATCACACAAGGTTGAGCATTGAAAATGCAACCCTTATTCTGTAAGTTTCGCACGGTGACTTGCTTTTTTATACTGTTTGTTTGGGAGATGTGCACAATTTATGTACACCCTAGCGTAACTATTATTTGGACTATTGAGTGCGAGCTGATTTCGCAAAACAGCACCATTAATTGGAAAATGTGACAGACAGTATTGATGGTTTCAGTATCACATACACATGGGAATTTGGGTACTTGTTATATTACTTCGGATGATATGAAATGTTGACACGCACGCTTTGGTTCTATTTTAATGCTTGCGTATAGCCTAGCAACGAGATAACCCCCCAATCTGAACTTATCTATCTTCATTGAGATAAGATAACGTTTTTTATTTTGAGATCTGGACCTTAGATTCGCGCTCTTCTTTTTCAGACTTAATTCTCGCAAGAAAATAGTGATTCAGCTATGGTCGCTAGCAGTTTGTTGCACATCCAATCTTCGTTACCGTTACGGGGCTGCGCCATCAGCTCAGAGAAGGGTAAAATGTTCGAATGAGGGGACGGAAAATGTTGGAAATTGAGGAAATTAATGTAGATCCGTGTGCTTTGTACTGAAGAAGATTTATTCTCGTTTTTCTTGATGAAAGACAAGTTGGAGCGTGATTTTAAGCGGGACAGATCAGGGAAACATGCCAAGACACTGGACAAACGGATGGACATGATGGAAAAGGTGGACCGACCACCGGAGATTCGGACATTCACTATTCCGCTGGACGCTAAAATCGGCAGCGGAAATTTCAAAGACCACGACATAGTTCTGGAGCACGGTGTGTGTGGCTACATGCAGCCTGTAGGCACAGACTCACCCGCCGATGCGAATTCGGGAGGGAATGTACTGGTCCGTGAACTGGACCTGGGGATATCATTTGGGGAGCGTATTGTCCTTTTAGGCGGGAATGGAATGGGAAAAAGTACTTCATTTAAAACCATTACAGGTACCATTCCGCCGCTGGAAGGACGTGTGAAGATCGGAGAAGGTGTCGTTTCTTGTGGGGATTACTCACTGAGGGAAACGCTCAGACTTTTCATTTCTATAATTTTGAAGTGTTCATTGTGCACTGTGATATCTTACTGATTTCCTTTCGTCTCTATCGCTGGTCATTTCCGTATCCCAATTCCCGAAATCATTCTTTACAGCGTAACTTATAGTTTCCGCGCCAGATGAATGGAAGTGCGTCCCGGCTCGATTCTCGTGAATAGTGGTAGAAATGAAATTTAAACTTTGTATACGCTCTTGATTCCAATTTCTATTTATGTCGTCCTTTTCTTACTTCTTTCAATTCTTTTTTACCTATTCTGGAGTGGTTGTGGGGAATCTGATGCAAGAGCACGAGCGATATGTGCGCTGCGGATTACTTGTCTAGTCAAGTAGGGGACATGCCACAGGTAACGGCTGTTGGTAGGCTCATCAGCTTCGGCTTTCATAGGGCTCAGGCGCTCAGACCTATCCACACACTCAATCCTGGCGCAAGAGTCCGATGTTTACTTTTTGATTCTTGACGAACCAGCGAATCATTTGGATATCGAGGCAATTGAAGCGCTGGAGATATCGTTGGCTACATACAAGGGAACTGTGCTCATTATTACACATCACATGATCTACATTTTATCACAAACGTCCCGCCTGATAAAATGCTGTTGCTGGAGAATGATGACCTTACATCCATATCGGACCTTGAAGCATACATAGAGGAAAGCAACGATAGGGCGAATCGACTTGTCGTGTTTATTAGATTACTGAACAACTTAAGTATTAGTAGATATTTCTTTTAAAAATAGTCTCCATATTTAATATTTCTTCATATTAAAGACATGTCCTCGCGAGAATCGTTCATAGAGGATACGAGGAAAAGAGCAAAGAGATTTCAAGTATCTAGCTCAACAAATACTTGGATGAGTAGGTAATAGGGGCGAACAAACTAGACTTTCCAAGATTTCATTCGATCTTGAAGATTCTCTATATTCGTCATAAGTTCGACTATTATCGCATTTCCAGCTCACCAATATATGGTAAAATTGGCTGTATCTAGTGTTCAACGCTTGAACACTAGGTGTAGCCTTTTTCTACCCCGTGACATACGAGTTTCAGCACGCTCTAGTTTTAGCAGCCGATTCCAACCGCTAATGCCACGGCTGCATAGCATGAACACCAAGAACTTAGGGCACAGCGAAAATTCGAAACTGGGAAAAACGAGGTTGTTGACAATCAACTCTTAGGCTTGTTCCTTTAAAGGGCTATGGTTGAGAAGGCTGCAGAAGCTTTGATTAAGTTCAGTATTTGAAAAACTGCTGCCACGAATCTATGAATCGTGCCCTCTGGTTCTTTGTTCAGATGGTAATTATTTCTATGGCCCTTACTAACTATGGCCTGGATCGAACTTTGGCTATGAAAAAATTTATTTCAGTTCGATCCAGTTGAACTATGTAGCTTCCATGACCGTGCCACTCTCACACAATAAACCACAACCAGACATCGGAGGCAGTCTCTCAGTTAAGGACGAAGAAGGAGGTCAAAGAAAATTGTTTAATAAGAAAATCCAATCACGGGCCCTTATTGCCGAGTCTAGCATTCTAGTTCATTCGCTTTTGTGTGTTTGGATATTGGTTTGCAACCCGATCAAGCTTCCTACACAACATTGGTGGTGGCCATCGGTTTTCATCAATTTTCGAAGGATTTGGTTTGGGGTTATTGCTATGACTTAATACACGAGCCGATGGAGGAAGTATGGTCTCGTTGTCTTCTATAGTTGTAGCACGCCGGCGGGGATGGCCATCGCTCTGAGTGTTCTTACTATTGATTCTGTTAAGGATTCTCCGATTTTATCAATAATTTTTGGATTAGCATATGCAATTTGTGGTGGTATATTGTTGACCATGTGGTATACACAGAAAAAGATATATTCAATTTAAGATCATCGAATATTCCTTGTCGTTTGAGTGTGGATTTTTAAAATGGTTGTCAAATGAGTATGGTTTACTGATTACAAAATAGTTATCGTTTGAGTGTGGGTTCGATCATTGTTGTCGTTCGAGTGTATTTGGTCATCGTTGTCGTTTGAGTGTGTTTATTGATTTGCAAAATAGTTGCAAGCGAGCGTGGTTTTGTCATTGTTGTCGTTTGTGTGCGGTTTACTGATTTGCAAAATGGTTGTCAATTGAGTGTGGGCTACTGATTTACAAAATAGTTACCGTTCGAATGTGGTTGGTCATTGTTGTTGATCGAGTGTGGTTCGATCATTGTTGTCGTTCGAGAGTGATTAGGACATCATTGGCGTTTGACATTATTTATTGATTTGCAAAATAGTTGCAGTTCGAGTGTAATTTGGTCACTATTATCGTTTTGAGTATGATTTGCACAATGTTATCGTTTGAGTGAGGTTTGGTCATTGTTGTCGTTGGTGTGTGGTTAACTGATTTGCCAAATGGTTGTCGTTTGAGTGTGGTTCACTGATTTGCAAAATAGTCGCCATTCGAGTATGTTTTGGTCATCGGTGTCGTTTGAGTGTGGTTTGCTCAATTTCAAAATGATTGTCGTTTGAGCGTGGTTTGCTCAATC